GATTCATACAAGAGCACAGATGGGAAAACATGTGTCCCAATTTTGGGACTCAACATGTTGGAGGGTATGGCCTCAGGGCCTATCTGAGGCGAAACAGGGCCTCTGCTAGATGGGCATGAGGAAGCAGGGACCTCTGAAGCACTCTGTGGCACATTGGGAATCCAGACATCACAATACCTGAGTTTGCCATAATGACATACTGGTAATACCAGAGTTTGATGATGGAGGAAGGCGGAGCAAATAACAGAGTGAGGATCAGGTACAGATGAAGTGGTCCATTAAGACTGATGGGTCTAGCTTGTAATCAAGAGAGGATGATTTAAGCAGTGTTCTCCAATCCCAGTGCTTTGGGATAGGGACTAGCACTGCAAGAGCAAAACTGAATGCCTCTAAGGAAGATGTCAGGGTAGAGAAGATCCTTCACAAGTCTAGTTTGTAACAAGAGGAAATGAGTTTTACCCAGAAAGCAAATTCTTTTTAGGATCCCGCCAGATGTCCTTTTTAGTGATTATTTCTGCTCATGACGCTATTGGGACAGTCATACGTAATCCTACTTTCAATACCGTTTGCACCTGCAGACGCTTTAGGGCTGTCGCACTGATTCATTTCCAATCAGTGCAAATTCCATAACTTCCTGCTTAAAGCAGTATTTCTTTTATACCACAAGTGGGATACCTCCTCCCATCACCTCTCACTTCTACTGCCCTTCTGGACAGGAAGATTGTGAAAGCCTTGGGGGAGCACTGCGGAATAAACTAAAGCAAAATAAATCCACAACTAATATACTATTAAGTATCAAGAACACATTTCAGAATACACCTGCAAAAAAACACCAGTCCGGAGGGGCTCAGTGTTTTTATCACTCCAACCCTCTGGACCTGTTTTTCTGCAATTTGTTAGGTTTACCGCCTTTTCATACCAATTGCCCATAAAACGCTAACTAAGTAATAAAAAATAATAATAACTGCACTTAATATTTTAACATCTCTAACCAGTGTTCAACCAGTAAAACAGTAGTATGAAAGCATATACAACAAATAAAGACAAGAATTCAGGGAATTCAAATGAATTAAAAACAGGGCCCAATTTTATGGGTCAGGGAAAGCCTGGACAAAAAGGTATCTCTTTACAAGACATCTGAAGCAACTGATGGTTTCTGCTTCACATATGGCAGATGAAAGTGCATTTCATAGCACAGAGGCATTAGCAGAAAATGTCTGCTTTGAGGTCACCACTGTATGGTATTCTGAAGGTTGTAGTACCATGAGTAGAATTTCCCCAGATGATCTAAGTGAGTCTATACAGGGACAGTTGGCACGTAAAGTAACTGGGAACTGCAGCAGCGCCTAGACAGCAATAGAGTTACCACATTGCAGGTGGTATAAAAGCACATATCATGTGCAACTTCTGAAGCAGCCACATGTGGGAGCCAAATATCATGGATCCAAACAAAGTATAAGGCTCCTTTCAGAGCTAGGTATATAAGCTTCTGGTCACATATTCTATTTCTTTGCAACTTCAGTGCACATATTATGTCTTTTAGTTTGTGGGTGTATTCTTTTACCGGCAGGTTAAACATTTGCAAAGTGAGTTGCACAGGGATGAAGCAACAGATAGGACTTTTTCTTTTGTACAGTAGGCTACACTCCAGCCACACAAAGATCAGAGATTTCTATATGCAGACACACACACACCTGTTCAGCCTTGCAAGGAAGAGGAACCACAGTTCAAGGATACAGTCTAGTTGGACCAAAAATAAAACCACGCAAAATGGCACGTTGTAGGGCTTCTGAGGGCCCTGGCTGAGGGCTCCCAAGAGACAAGCATATTTATTTATTTATAAAAAACATTTATATACCACTATAAAATTAAAATCTCACTCCCATATGGTCTAGCGGTTAGGATTCCTGGTTTTCACCCAGGCGGCCCGGGTTCGACTCCCGGTATGGGAATGGCAATCTCTTTTGGGACGCGGGTGGCGCTGTGGGTAAAACCTCAGGCCTAGGACTTGCCGAACGCATGGCCGGCGGTTTGAATCCCCATGGCGGGGTGCGCTCCCGTCCTTCAGTCCCAGCGCCTGCCAACCTAGCAGTTCGAAAGCACCCCTGGGTGCAAGTAGATAAATAGGGACCGCTTACCAGCGGGAAGGTAAACGGCGTTCCGTGTGCTGCGCTGGCTCGCCAGATGCAGCTTGTCACGCTGGCCACGTGACCTGGAAGTGTCTGCGGACAGCACTGGCTCCCGGCCTATAGAGTGAGATGAGTGCACAACCCTAGAGTCTGGCAAAACTGGCCCGTACAGGCAGGGGTACCTTTACCTTTACCTTTATAAAATTAAAAATATATAATAAAAACGCATAAGGAAGTTTAAAATCAGAGGTTATAAACTAACATGGAAAGATGTATTCTTATTTCTTTTTTTAAAGTAAATTTTATTTATAATTTTCATCACTACAATTTCTCCACATTAAAAGTAACAATGCATTAAACCCCGACTTCCCTTCCTGCCTTCCATGGTTTCCTCCAAAACTCCATTACTACTGCATATGCTAGTCAATCCATAGCCCCTCTATCTCACTTCATCTCAACATAACTTATACTGCTGAATTTACTCTTAAATCTGCTAACATTTTAACCTGTTGGGAATATATAATCAGTGCTTTTTTCTGGGGGAATGTAGGGTACCTAAACATTTTGTGAATCTAACAGGAGAAGAAACTAATAATTTTTTTTTTAATTCTTCTATAGCACGGTGAATCATCAGTGTGTGAAGTAGTGTGGAATGTGTGGAGGTAATGCATGTTCTTTGTACTTTTGTCCATTTACTGTATTTATTTTTCCCAATTTGAACTATAAAATGGTGATTTTGTTGAGTCAAAATGAGAGTACCCCTAAACATATTTTTTTTTAGAAAAATAGCATTGGATATAGCATTTTAAAAATCCTAACCGATCACTTAAAAATCCTAACCAACCACCCATTCAACGACCTACTATAACCTCCATGCCTTCAAAAACAAGCAGCATGCAGAGCAGGGAAGGTGGAGGAGAAAAAGAGATGAGGGAGCAGAAGCAGGGGAAAGAACAACCCAAGATAGAGAAGGGAGTGGGAAGGAAAGTAAGTAAGTAAGAAAGTAAGTAAATAAATAAACAAAAAAACAAACAGACCTCAAACCCCAAACTTCTACTTCTTCTTCTTCTTCTTCTTCTTCTTCTTCTTCTTCTTCTTCTTCTTCTTCTTCTTCTTCATACCTCACCTATTTGGCTGGGTTTACCCAGTCACTCTGGGAGGCTCCCAACAGAATATTAAAAACACGATAAAACATGAAACATTAAAGATTTTCCTAACCAGGGCTGCCTTCAGATGTCTTCTAAACGTTGTGAACATAGTTCTTTATTTCCTTGACATCTGGTGGGAGGGCGTTCCACAGGGCGGGTGCCACCACCGAGAAGGCCCTCTGCCTGGTTCCCTGTACCTTCGCTTCTCACAGTGAAGGAACTGCCAGAAGGCCCTTGGCGCAGGACCTCAGTGTTTGGGCAGAATGATGGGGTGGAGACGCTCCTTCAGGTATACTGAGCAGAGGCCGTTTAGGGCTTTAAAGGTCAGCGCCAACACTTTGAATTTTTCTCAGAAATGTACTACTGAAAACTTGAGTGCAACCCCAGCACTCATTATGGTCTATGGGCCACATGTTTCAAAGTGTCCACATCTGGTGTCCATTCTCCCCTCCCCAAGGTCAGGCAAGGCAAGGCAAGGGCCCAGGAGAGCAGGGCTGCCAGGAGATAGGTGAGCAGATTTGGCTGCTGCTATAATTATAGCTGAAGCTGAAAATATGCTTCTGCTATTTAAATATTTCTTCAGGTCAGAGGACAATCTATTTCCACAAAGACAGTCACATTTGCTCAATATATGCAAACAGAAGAGCAATCAAATAAAAATGGAAATAATCGTTCTTATGAAATAAGTTGTGATAATTATTGAGAGGCTTTGTGGATAGAATCACAGATGTCATGATTCACAGAAGAAACTGCTGATGCATCCTGCTGGAGCAAAATCTCCAAAGGAGAGGAGGGGAGGGAAAGAGAAGATAGAAAGCACTTGTTGCAAGAAATATTCTCAGCCGGGCAAAGAATTTTAGTCCATTAATCATCTTGATTGATCAATTGATTGACCATTAAATATATTTCCCAAATATTGTCAACAACTTGAGAAATATTGACAAATATTGACAAAAGTGTGAGGTGACTTAAAAAGAAAGCAAACTTTTACAATTGAAATCAGTTTAATATTTTATTTATCATCCTTTGTTACAATGATGCACCAATATCGTTTCAAAAAGCAAACTGAATAAAACGTACCCTGAAAGTAGGCTCCTACTGAATGATCAACCAAAAATCAAGGTGTTTACTGTACTGATAAAATCCATTTGGGCTTTCAGTCCTATTTTGGCTTCAGTACTTTTAACTGTTACCGTGTTTGGATAACTTTCTCTTTTCATTTGGTAGCACTTCAATCCATTACTAAAATGAATTAATCTTATGGTAATACATACATACATACATACATACTGTATTAATAAAGCAATCAATGAGTCCCTTTCCTCGCCATATCTTTTGCTTACAGGGTTACGTTTAATTTCACATTTTTCTCACTCTATGGCCACCATACGTTTACAACACTCTTATACCAATTTAGCAGTCATGAAGAATCCTGGAGGCTGTAGTTTGTTAAGAGTGCTGGGAATTGTAATTCTGTGGGGTCAACAACCTTTGCAAACTAAAGTTTGCAGAATCCTTTTGGGGAAGCCATGATGTTTAAAGCAGCATAAGAGTTGTTTAAATGTATGGTGTGGTTGTGACCAAAATTACTTCAGCCATGGGCATTGGTCCATGGGATGGTCCAGGAGATCTGAATCCCAAGCCTTTTGTGCTAGGCCCCAGATCTCCTGACCCCTCCATCTCTGGGTAGTATCCAGCCATGTAGTAAGCTAGCACCTCTGGGTTATTCCTCCTGGTACAAGTCCACAGTAGACGTTCTTGTATAGAAGATCTCACGGGATAAAACAAGCTTTACAGCTTTCCTGAACCAGTGGTAGGAAAACACATAAATCAAAGGGTTGCAGGCTGAATTAAAGTAAGCAAACCAAATGAGAACATCAAACACAACAGGTGGGGTAATGAAATCAAGAAGGCTGTCTACCATCGTGTCCACGGTAAACGGCAACCAGCATAAGAGGTAGATGCCAACAGCGATTCCCAGTGTTTTCGCTGCCTTCATTTCTCGCCTTGTCGCTCCTGACCGACGCATGGACCCAGCTCTCTGATTGACACTGTTTATCTGCTTGGCTTGCCTGGTTCGCCACGATAAATATCTTGACATACAGCCCTACCATGATGAGGCAGGGGAAGAAGAAGAGTGGGAAGTTTATCCAGCCCCAGAGTTTGTTGAACAGCAGCTGGCAGCTCCCAACGCAAGGCATGTCCTGCAAGAACTGGCCTAAACTTTCCTCAACTCTTTTGCTATAGAGGAAGATGGACGTGTAAAGCACAGGGACTCCCCACCCGACCACGACGTAGACGCCAGCGACCCTCACAGTGAACTTGGTGGTGTAGCGCAGAGGGTCGCAGATGGCACAGTGGCGGTCGATGGAGATAAAGCAGAGGTGGAAAATGGAGGCCAAGCAGAAGACAGTGTCCAGGAAGGTGTGGAAACGGCAGAAGGCATCCCCGAAGTACCAGCAGCTCTCCACTGAGCGGATTGTGCTGAAGGGAAGGACTGTTAAGCCTAGCAGGAGGTCTGCCAGCGCCAGGGAGAGCAGCAAGAAATTGGTGGGGGTGTGAAGGATTTTGAAGTGGAAGATGGAAATAATCACCAGCAGGTTCCCCAGGACTGTAAGTAGCATGCCCAGGGCACAGACCACGTAGATGGTTAGCTGGACCCCAAAGGGATGGAGGGTTCGGTAGCAGGAGCCATTAATCTTAAAGCAAAGCGGGGCTGCTTCCACAGCAGAGCTCATTCTTCTCCACCTTCTCCACTTTCTGCCCCTCTCAGCTGTTTTGGCTCTGGCAATCTTTCTTCTGTATCTGGGGGAGGGTGGGCGTAAATACGTAGCTACTTATTTTATTATATGACCGAGTTCATTAATTTATGAATCACCTCCCACGTGAGTCTCAAGGTGATTTACAAACACACCAAGCAAACAACTAAAATTGTCTCTCTTTCCTTTTTTAAGGCACAAAAGATGACACTTTGAAATACAGAATAAACATCTTTTTGCCCAGCTGGAAAAGCTGGTCGAAACAAAAAATGCCTTCCAACTGTCTCTGGAAAACATAAGTAGTAATATTTAAGGGACTTGGAGTAGATACTCTCCTGCAGACAGCAGCAGTGACCTACTGGGTATATAAGGGGAAAGGTAGTCTTTCAAGTTACCTGGTGCCTGGCTCCAAAGGAGCCATCTCCATTTCAGTTTCTTTCATTTTCCTGATCTTAAGTTCAGTTTTCCATATTTCCACATCGGTTTGTGATATTTTTTTCTTGTGATGTTCTCATGAATATTCAACAGCATTTGAGTGCCATATATACATTTTTGCAAAACAATTTCCCTAACTAAGTGCACCTCTGTGTGCTATTTTCACTAATATCTGCATTTTTATTACCCTACTTTTATACACGTTACATGGCTGGAGAGTGCACTACAGAATTTGGAGAAGTGCAAATGTAGAAAGATGGCTGTATTTTCTTAAAATCATTTTGGAAAGTGAATTTAGTAGGTTCACCATTAAATGTGAACTGAACCAAATTTCTCCCTCGCCTCTAATAGGGCATTATTTGTTGATACCAAAACCTTGAACTTTGCCTGGTAATTATGAAGCACAGAGTGTAATATTTGTACAAAGAATCCTTAGGAGAGAGTCTGTTTGGCTCAAGGAATATTATTACAAAACTAGGTGATCAGTCAAACTGGTGTAACCCCACTAGTTTCATACATACACAAAATCACATCCTTTTCCTATTGATTCATTAATCTGTAATAGCCTCCTCCTCTAGTTCTATACTGTATTCATGATCCCGAAAGCAGACTAAGATCCCCTTTCCACTTTTAAGTGGACAAAGAATGGACAAAATCCATCTTCTCATTTTTAAATCACCCTGATTGAAGTACAGTGAAGTGCTACAGGGAAATTAAGGTGAATTAGGAGGTTTGTGAGTGCTCACTAGTTCTGTTTTGTTTGTTTTTTGTTTCGCCTGAATGCCATGACACTTTATTATGATCATAAGGATGCCTGGGGTAGGAGGATTTTGTTTTTGGCTGCACCCATTCTAGAGGCGCAACCACATGCCTGCTCTGTAACAGCGACCACAGCATTCTTCAGGGTTTACAGGACTAATGTGGTGGTGGGGCAATATTTCCATACTGGGAAGACTTTAAAATGTTGTATAAAACATTGCAAATAATAATAAAAAGCAACATCAACTCTCCAAAAAGACAAAGTGCATTTCTGGGGTATCCTAAATATGCCCCCCTCCCAATAGAGAGGTAGATAGTCAGATAGCTATAGATACAGACATTAGAAGAGCATGTTCCCTTTGTCTCACCTCTGATAATAATAATAATAATTTTATTGTTTAAACCCTGCCCATCTAGCAGGGTTGACCCGGCCACCTTCTCCTAGAAGTCATAAGTCTATACAGGAAACAGGGTTGTTAGGGTGAACTTAAAAATTGACTTGTTACATAATTTACAGCTTTATCTTCTGCTTGTTCACTCCGAGGAAAGTCCTCATACTTTCAATAGGACTTACCCCCGAGTAAGTGACAGCATGGCTCAGTGTTGGAAAAGGGTGATTTGGGCTACTTCAGTAAATCTACATTTTTGTTTAGAATACTGTATGTGCATCTGGGAATATTGCACTGTGTGCACAACGGTGTATTTTTTAATCTTCAATCTTTGCTTGGTTATGATTCTATTTTGTATTTTTATAAATCTGTTTTTAAAAATGAAAAATTGGTTATGTAGATGAAGAGGAGAACAAAATTAATGTTTATGTAATGGTGGTGGTGGGAACTTTATTTCTCACAATTTCCAAAAAGATAAGTTTCAGGTTTTTTAAAAAGGGTGTTTTTTCATTTCCAGTTACTGCAGAAATATAAACAGAATTACAGGACTGAAAATCTCTCATTCAAAAGATTAAAAAAAATAGTCAACATTTATTGATTTTTATGGTCTAGTATCACAGTTTAAATATCAAACCTCTCTTTTACAAAGCAAATAAACCAGGATAAAGGACAGTACTGAAGTAAATTTCCAAGCTCTGTGTGTGTGTGTGTTTGTGTTTTTGGAAGTCTCCCACAATTAGTCCGGATGATTTGAATTTGTTACATTCTTTGAAGCCAGAAATAAGACAAAGTCTTTCAGTAGTTTATCTGAAACTTTTTTTAAAAAGTAACTGAAATGCACGTGTATTTAGTATAAAGACTTGGATCATATACATGAAAATGAAAATCCAATTTCTTGTAGTTGGGTTGAAATAGAACAAAGTACAGTAAGGATTACCTGCTGTTGCCCACCGCCTTAACTTCCAGAGTTTCTCGTCAGCTGGGAAGTGTGAAGTCAGTCAATGCCTTATATAATCCAGTCCTTTCTAATGAACAGTGTAACTGAAGGTGTGGTCAGCAAGGCACATGCGTCTTCAGCAACAGCGATGTTGCTGGCTGTCAAATGCCCTGTGATGTACAGACCTCCATGCTCATTACTCACTTGCCTGTTTAATCTTAGCAGCAGGGTCACCAATTGTCTATACATGTCCTGCCCATAATAATGTTGCTCTAACTGTCCACTGTTTTCCCCACAGATTTGGCCTGTTCCCTCTCATCTAAGTCCCAGATAAGGTCCCTCTCGTCATTCCTACCTCTTCGATTAAGCCGCAATTCTACTTTCTTTAAGATGAGCTGCATTTTCTTGTGAGACATTTCTCATTCTCATCCATATTACTTACACATTCCTTCATTGGAAGCTTCGTATAAATGTTTTATCTTATCAACCAAATATTGCAAGCTTGGATGACAATATGCAAGGAGGGCAGGCAATGCTATTATTCCTTAGACATGTTGTTGGGTTGTATCACCTGTCTTCAGTGCAGACCCTTTGAAATTAATGACTAAACTCTGAGCATGTCTAAAGTTGGAAAGCACGGATTGTCTCTCAGCCTAACCTCAACGTATTGTTGTGTTGATGAAATGAGAGCAGTCCATGTAATCTGCCTTGGGCTTTTTGGTGGATGGGTGGGATGCAGCAGTGATAGAGGGGGGAAAATCTGGGAGGTACAGAACTTGCTCAGGTCTTGACAGGACAGTAGAATGCTGAGAGAAAACTATAAGGATATTTTGGGTGCTTGCAAAAAGTGTTTTAAAAGCAGCAGTATAACAACAGTTGTTTGTTAGCAAGTAAGCCAACCCAAACAGCATCTTCTTTGTACTGTTTTACTATATACTTTGTGAAGGCTTAGAGTCGCACTTTAGGGTCAACCACACAATCACCCCCTGCCCAACGTGCTGCTCAAGGAAACACCATAGGTATGACAGAGATTATTATGGGCCAGAAAAAGAATGGGAGCAACTGTCTGATTCCCAGCACAGTCCTGATGTTTCTGCCTAGGATCAGGACATCCTGTCTCTGTCAATGGACAGCTCAACTACCCGCCAGGTTTCTGTGATTTGCTACAGACAAATCTAAGGTAGAGATGAATAGAGTCAGAGCACCTAAGACTCCTCTCCAGGATTGGGACCGGGGCTTTGTAAATCAGACCGCTGGTGCTAAAAGACTGAATGCTCTAGAAACTGCATTGAGTGTTGAATAGGGAGGCTGGCCTGTTGACTTCAAGGACTACCCTAATGTCTTTGGTCATGCAGGATAAAGCATGTCCTCCCTAAAAGAGGGCACATGTTGCGGTAAGACCTGGAGACTGACCTCCTGGTTGTGGGTAGGTATACTGGACAGCTACAACACCCGATTGGTAGGTCCCTCGTTGCTGGGTTGAATCTGGCCAATTGGGTGCAGTCTAAATGGATCGAGGGACCTATATATACCCATGCACGTGACCCAGAGCTTCCTCTTTCGGCTTGTGCTTCGAAACACCCGCCCACCTCTCCCTATATTTACGGCATTTTGTGATTGACCTTGCTATGCCGCCGTGTGTCGTCTGTCGTTGGGACATGGGCACGGCGGGAATTTCCCCCACTTGGCTGATTGGCTGTTGCCATTTGGGTTTTGCCTGCCGCGTAGCAAATCATCATAACTTGTAAGGTTGCGGATAGGCACTAGTTCAGGTGATAGGGATGGGAAAACGGTCTCGCCATCCCTATGTTAAGGGTACAGTGGTACCTCGGGTTAAGAAATTAATTCGTTCTGGAGGTCCGTTCTTAACTTGAAACTGTTCTTAACCTGAGGTACCATTTTAGCTAATGGGGCCTCCCACTGCCACCGCACAATTTCTGTTCTCATCCTGAAGCAAAGTTCTTAACCTGAGGTACTATTTCTGGGTTGGCGGACTCTGTAACCTGAAGCGTCTGTAACCTGAGGTACCACTGTATTCCGTTGAAGGAATCCAGGGACTCAACTTGGTTTGGTCAACCCCCGAGAGGGGTTGTGCCCATGCTTGAGTCCAGGGGAGCATCTGGGGAGTGAACAGAGTCTGTTCCCGGGCCTTTCACCTACTTCAGGTGTTCACCCTTGGCTGACCTATGATGGAGCTCTGGGTCAGCACTACCTGCAAGGGTGCAGGGAGCTAGCTGAACCAGAGCCTATGCAACCACTCACTTTTCTGTAATCAATAAAGTTGTGGCCTAAATTCTGCCAAAAACCAAAACTAAAATTTGAGTCAAATTGGAGTGTATTTAGGGGGGAGGTCTCTGGGTCTGAACACGCAAACATAGGAAGCTATCTTATCCTGCATCGAATTGAATTAGTGCATATACCTCCATATTGTCTGCAATGAGTGGCAGCAGCTGTCTTGG